AGCGACTCATAACGAGTGTCGGTGAGGTGAATATAATACAAACAAGCTGGACGTATAAGGGAACTGAATAAATCATTGTGTCAAATCTATCTTCTCTTTCTCTTTTATTTTTTTGATTTGTGTGTGTTGATCTCTAACAAATAATCGGTATTACTAATACCTTTAAATATCAATTTTTTTTACACAAGAAAAATTAATTATATCTTGACAATGAGTCTCTTTGAAATGTAGAAAGAGACATAGGAGTAGGGTTGGCAAAACGGGCCAACCCAGCTCGACCAGACCCAACCCGAGTTCAACCCGAAAAAAGAGCCGGGTTAGGGTTAGCTCGCGGCTTGGCTCGAAAATAAGCTCGCGAGTTGGCTTAAATAAAGCTCGCGAGTTGGCTCGAAATATTGCCAACGGGTTGGCAATACCCTAAAAACAATACATAGATCAAAGCCAAAACCTCAAAAAGAAAAAAAAATGAATCAATTTATCCTTGTACTATTCCTTCTTCCCCACCACTTCTTTACTTTCTCAATTGAACCATTTTCATTTCCAAGTTTATGTAAAATGAGCTTCGTTTCACGCAGTCTTGCACCATAATCCTTTTTCCAAGCTTCGAACATCTATTTTAACCTTCTAAGCTCTTTATCTGGGTCCAAACTTGCATACAATATATTTAAATATTGACAAATGATTATGGTCGACAAATCTCTAGAAGCGAATGTTTTACTGAATAAACAATTGTATTATAGCATGAATGGATCTTATGTTAAACTAAAGAGTATGGAATGGAAAGTGACGACAGTGATTAACAAGAAGAAGAAATTAGAAGGCAGAAGACGAGCGAAGAAGAAATTAGAAGGCAGAAGACGAGCGAAGAAAAGAAAGAACATGGTAGGGAAAGGTCGTTTACATGCTCTCTGGCAACGAAGACGAGCGAAGAAAAAAGAAGAGAGGGATGAGTACGATGAAAGAAAAGAAAGTGACGACTGATGAAAGAAAGTGAGAACTGAGAACGATGGGTACGGCTAAGGCGGTTTTTCATATTACAATTTTTAATAAAAAAAAAATACTCCCAACCCGCGAGCTGGCCCTTTGACTCGCGAGCTGGCTCGTTTTTGTTTGGGTTGGCAACTCATTTATGACAACTCAACCCGACTCATTTTTGACATGTTACGAGCCAACTCGATGATGGGTTAGCTTGTTTTTGCCACCCCTACATAAGAAGCTGCATGGCAGGAAATACTCCCAAAACACCAAGAGGAGAAAAAGACACACGTTACACGTAGAAAAATAGAAACGAATGTGCCACCCTCGTCACAAAAATTACCCGTGTTCAAGAAATGCAATAACTCTGATCACCGACTGATACTGGCTAACAAACACATCCTCTATTATCATTGTTACAACTTACAACCAACAATCAATGCACAAGGCTATGCATTTCAACATTTGGTCAGCAGTGACCTAACCCTTATTAACGGGTAAACCGATTTTTTTATTTATTTCTAGTGTTCAAATTAAAGAAAACAGAGGTTGGGTTTGTGTCATGCGAGATTTCGTATTGAATCAAGTTCGATGCTAAATCGCAAAGCTGAAAATGTTTGAGTTAGGCATTGAACTAAGGAATCACGTATAAGAGACTTCGAATAGTATGATTTTGAATCAACTGAGTTATTTTGGACCTATTACAAATAAAATAAAATGATTCGACTCAAAATCTAATTTTAAAAACTAGTCTTCTAAAATATATGGTTTGTTTCGGTTAGAGGTTGGGTTTGGTTATATCTAATAATTTGCCCACCCGTAATTGGTAGCACCCTCTATATATGTTTTTTTTTAGGTAGATAAAGTTGTGTCCTTTTAACCACATACAATTATGTATTACGGGAACATATAATGATAATATTAAAATTGTATTTTTTTCCACGTCACTTAATAGGTTCTGAAGAGAGAAAAATAATAATAAAACGTTAATATTATAATTTGTAACTATATATTCCACCTAATACATAATTATAAGCAATTAAAATAACATAACATGTGTACTTTAAAAGATAAACTATTTTTCCTAAATTAATTATCTCAAAAAGTAAAAGATAGTAAAAAATATTCACCGTCATGAACCCTTTATTGTTTAATTCAACTTGTAATCTCCTAATTTTAATTTTCCAACCACAAATTGATGGATTAATATGATTTTTCTAGTGATATGAAAGACCTTTGTAATCCAAGTCAACTAGCATCTTCCAGAGATACCGGCAAGCATAATTTGGACGATAGCGACATCCATTGGTTAGTGTAAGATAACAATCTGCATCGAACAAGAAAAATAGTTTCAAGTCTTCAACACATACCACAAAACAAAAGAGCACATATCAATTTTTATTTTTTTTTCGTGAAGAATAATTTATTAAAAAAATGAAATAATTTTTGACAAATCTTGTCTCTTATTGATACAACATCTCAATGGAATTGATCCAGAACTAGCTATAAATGTAATGGTACATGAATATGATTATGATTAGCTCCGCTCTAGGTCTTTTATTTATTTATTCATTATCAACACCAAATAACAAATTACTATCCATTTAACAATTTATAATATATAAGACATTGATTTAGTTAAGTATTTTTTACCATTCTTTTTCTTAAATAAAATTATCTTTTTGTTGAGTATTTTATACACCTTTTTTTCACTTTTTTTTTTATCATTTTCAAAATATTACATTTATTTTTAAATTGTAACATTTTTCTAGCCATATATAATTAAGCAACCAGAAACTATAGATTTGTTAGATTATTGCTTTTAAAAATAAAATAAAATAAGATATTTATTTTTAAATTTAAAATACAAAATATTGTTTGGATGCTTATTTTTTATCTTATTCTTTTAAAAATTCATTCTTCATAATTCGCTTTTAAAGTAAAAAAATAAAAGTACATTTTTATTTTGTTTTTAAAACTTATTTCTTTAAAAAAAAGAAGCTCATTTTAAACCACTACCATCGTCTTCCTTACGGCTGCCGTCACTGTAAGAGTTTATTTACGTTTCTATAACTTAACTTCAAAAATAAAATTGGGTTTTATTAGTGTTATGTAACATAACGTAAGTGTTGTTTCCAACTCTCACATCAAAAGAGAGAGAAAGTGAAATGATGAAAGAGAAAGAAAAACATGTGGACCCCACCTCTTTAATGTGTGTATAGAAAAGTGAAGTTATATTATGTTAAATGATAAACATAAAACCCAATAAAATTTATCAAATAAATGTTTTAATATTTCTAATTTTGTAAGATTACAATAAAATCAAATAATTCCTTATGTAATCTTGAAAGTTGCTCGGGACTTGAATCTTTTTGTTTCTTTTACATTATATATTTAGGAAATAGTATTTGATGTACAAATCCAGTTCACACTATCCTACACTATAGTAAGATGATAAACATAAAAATAAAAGTGTACTTTCATACAAATAAAGTGAGAATAATAATGATTAAATGATAAAAATTAAGAAAGAATATTTTACAATATCTTTTTTCTTATAACCTTTTATAATTATGTTATTATTATTAATCAAAATTAAATCAACAGTTATAAAATAATATCAATTAAGAACCGATGATTTAATGACAATAAAAATAAGGGCTTTATTAATCTCCATCAATAAGAGGTCAGATATCTTTTATCACTCTCACAATTATGTGGTAAGACCCACGTAATTATAAAATTAAAAAATTAAAAAACAAAAGCACACGAATCGAGGTCTCAACTGGAAAATAAACATATCTTCTGTGGTTGAAGATTAGTTTTTTCCTAAAAATAATTATAAGAGGTTTTACATATAATTTTCCTTTAAAAATTATATAAATAAAAAATAGCATATGTAAGAAAAATTGAAAGTAATATTATCGTATGATTATTTGTAAAATGGTGCTCTAATTTAAAACATAAATATCTTTTTGGGTAATTTATGAAATTATAATCAATGAACTTTTTATGTATTTATTAAAAAATTAATATTTATCAATAAGAGGGAGGTCCATCATAAACCACCAGATCTGCGAACCACACATCACTCAGAAAAAAAAAAAAAAATTAGGAAGAGACTGAACGCGTGGGCAGTCACAGAACCATCACAGCTAACGCATGTCCAATGCAACGGGACCGTCTGGGAACCTTTTTTCTTTACCAAAAATAATTGAAACAGCCTAACTTTTGCGTAAAGTATAAGCAAAACCCGCCAAGACCCAAATGATAAGATACGCAGAATTCAGCGAGAACTGCTGTTTCTTCATTATTTTTTGAAGTAAATTTTTTTTTTTATACTGAAATAAAATATAGGGGTTTCAACTTCTCATTCAACAGAAGATCAAAATTTTTGCAGCAGACTCATGGAGAGCCTCGCTTTCCTTTTTTTTTTATTTTTAATTAAATAATAAACTTCATTTCAAGATCTATGTCTATAGCAGAAGATCCCATTTTTTTGGGCTGCACAAGAAGTGATTTCCCCTAAAATATATTTAAACAAAAGTATTTCTTTGTTTTATCATTTTGTCAGAAAATGTAAACAATTACTTTAATATATATATATATATATATATATATATATATATTTAAACAAAAAATATACTCTTATATTGTAAGAGAGAATCTTTCTCTCCTACACATACATCGATTTCAGTGTTACTTTTTTCTTTTTCTATAGTGAATAAATCTCACACATGATTATCTCTATTGCATTATAAAGTTCTCTCCTATTACATCAGATTAATAAAACCCATATTTAAAACTATTTTTTGAAAAAAATATTTTTCCTTTAAAAAAATATCTCACTATCTTTTTCTCTCACCAATCTCTTCTTTCTTTTCAGCCGAAACAAACACAAATCAATTCAAATACGACAAAAAGAGTCAAAGAAACAAAAAGCAATTTTACTCGTTCATGCTCTACACATTGCAAAAGACCCGACCCATTCTTTGTACAGATTTTCATTCTTAAGCCGCGCTAGATACAATTCAAAGATCCTTAAAAACAAAATAAAAAAGAAAGATTCCCATCCTCTAAAGACTTAAGACACTAATTCTACTTTACAGAAGAGAATGGGGCATTAGACACTAAGAGAGGGGCCAGGGCGAAATCTAACACCCAAATTAACCCTCAACTGTAACCTTGACCGTATTATTTGAGGGAACGGACGATATTCCTAAACAAGACACCCTATTGACATTTACATACACTAGTTGATTAACTGACAATATTTACAAAACAGGCACAAGATAAACTTTTATCTGTTCCTCTTCAGAGAGACTCAATAGACCCAAAAATTCCTCTTTTGCCGTAGGTATCAAGATTCTTCTTGTGTGTGGGTTATAATTATGGTGTGAATTTAATTCTAATCTCAAGACGTGTGTGGGGGTTGTTGTTATTCTAAGCAAGAGCAGGGATGCTGCAATTTCGCCTGTCCCTGTCAAGGCAATCGAAACCCTCGACTCTCACAGCCGGATTGCTACCAAAATTGGATCGCACACAACCTCCTTTCCTTGCCGAGGATGACGGAGACGGTGGCAGACCCGACGACGGGGAAGGAATCACCACCCACGACGACGGCGAAAGCGGTGAGAAATTCTCATCCCCAAATCTAGCATCCTGAATCAATGGGTTAGCTACTCTGCTCGGCGGTGACCCGCAGAAAAATGGGGGCGACGAGGCTACCAGTGGACATGATTGCTCTATATCACAATCACCCTCCTGCAAATCCAAAAAATAAAAATAAAATTCAAGCAAAGGCAAAGACACGTATAATCAATGAATCAACCTAAATCATAGGATCCATAATAAAATATAAAACCAATGAAATAAAAAAGAAGAAGAAGAGAGGAGTACCTTGGTGAGAATGGTATCCAAAGGATTAGAGCCAGATGATTTTGAATCACATGGTTCAGCCTGGCAACTGCAGAGAAACAAAATATGCAACGTTCAATAAAAATCAACCAAAAGGAAAAAGAAGAAGAACATGAGGAGCAGAGTAAATTTACCTGAGATGCCACCGGAGGGCTCTCGCAGGGTGGTCGGTGACGGCGAAATTGAAGAGACCGACACGACGAGGCTTGGGGCAAATCACCGGGTCTCTGCCGTTCATATCTTCGCATGATGCGACGACGTTTTGGATGGCACAGTGCTTCATCTTCTTTCTTCTTCCTTGGATTTTAATATTCACAGTTATAACCTGGTCACCCAGATCAAAAATCTTAAAATTCAAAAGCCAAAGGAATAAATAAATCAAGCGTTTAAAACTGTTTTCAGTATTATATTTTGAGAGATCGGAAAACGTGAATGAATATTTGAACAGCTAAAGCTCGAGATCTGGTCAAACTCGAACCTAATAACCAAGTAAATTATAATTACGCTAAGAATTTCTCAACCACTCAGCTCTAATCATACACCTTACCTACAGATCTAACTGAAACAATTAAATTATTTTTTAAAATTAATACAAATAGACCATAAAAATAACAGAAAAATCAAATTTCATAGGGACCAAAAAAAATAAAAAAGAAGAAGCACGGATCATTTTATCTACCGAGGAAACAAACTGAGCTTTCGGTGAGGCAGATCATAAAAAAGGTAAGTATTAATTTTAATTATTTAAAATCACAGTTAATATGCCAAAAATAGATTGGAAATTAAAAAAGAGAAAGAGAGGAAAAACGGTTGTTGAGATCTAAAATGGAAAAGGAAATAGTAGTACCTGTGAGGCGAGGCGAGGCGAGATGAGGTGAGATGAGGTTTGGTTTTGATTCACTGTACACAGCTACTGAAACAAAAATAATTGAATCGAAAGAACAAAGTGAAGAGAGGAACACAAAAGGTGTTGCTGTTAAAGAAGGGAAACGGATGCAGATTGAACCGCAAGTTCCAACCACACTTGCTTTATGTTTATGTATTTATATATATATATAATTATTTTAATTTATTTTTGAGAAGATTTTTTAGTATCGTATTCGTATGGTTAATTCATGCGGGCGGTGCCTCCCGCGAGATATCACATCGGTTTTCGCACCCACAAGTCCATATTCTCTCTTTCTCCTACCGTAAATATAATTAATAATAATAATAATACTATGTTATGCTCTTATGGGAATAATAAAATGTTTATTATTTATAATAATCAAAACAAAAATCTTAAATATCAAGGGATCCGTTGTGAATGAAAAGGACTTTTCTTTGGTGGATCGAACCTCCACCAGACCATAACTCACAACGTTTCTCCTCATCCCTACACGTGGCAGCCTCTTTGAGTTTTTTTAATGGATAGGTCGGCGAATGCTTAAACTTTGAAGAGGGCCGGCCCTAAATGCATGGTCTTATTTCAATATTTTTTTTATTATTCAAGTTGAGTTGATTTCAAAACATTAATTAATTTAAGTCATTTTGTGGGTAATTTGAATCGTGGTTGAGTTAGCAAAAGTCTTAAAATGAATTAGTTTCGAATTATTATATTAATGATGCATGAGTTATCGTTATTTAATATATAAAATTTAAAAAAATATTCGTAGAATTTTAATTGCATAATTTCTTATTTTTTGTTAATTAGTTTTATTCCACGAATGCCATTCTCTTTTTATTTGGCTTCTTGTCATTAGAGAATAATCCCAGAAACAATGCTTAACAAAACAAATTAATCAAATAAACTGGGTTTTTCATAATCTAAGTTAATAAAGTTGTTGGTTTTGATTTATGTTATAATGTAATTAAAATATGGAACAAAAAAAAGTTTGAGATTTCAAACAAAATTACATAATAATTAGGGTTGGAAATAATTTAAATTCTATCAAGTCAAATATAAGTTAGGATCAATTTGATAATAAATTGGGATCATTTTGTTGAATCAATGTCACTTTACCTTAATAATTATTATTATAATAATTGAGGTATCTACTTAAATTGAAATTACATTACATATTAATTTATATTACTTTAAACTATTACTGTCATTGTTAATATACTATCTTGACAAGATCGGGATATTCTCATATAAAAAAAAAAGTAAAAACAATTTGACATAGTCATATAAAAAATCATAAACATATAAAGGCAGATTAATAATGATAATAAAAAAATTAAAATAGATAATTACAAAATTATAACTATTAATTCATTTTTATAAGATTATTATTTTCTTAAATGATCATATATTTTTTTAAACATGAAAGATTCCATTTTCATCTTGACCAATTGACGTGAGACATCCCACGGCAGGACTTGAATTTGAATGTGCATAATTTATCTTTCCTCGAGCAATTAGCAAGCAAAGTATAAAAATGATGAAAAGTTATACTCTTATATTAAATAAGATATTCATCTCTCATGTTACACTCACATAAAAATATGTGCCTCTTTTTTTAAAAATAAAATAAAATTAGTGGACCCCACTTAATTTATCTCACAACATACAATAACTTCTCTCCTATAGCATGAGAGAAGTAAAGCCCAAAAATGATTTGCATATAAATTTAAAGAGATAGGATGTTGTTATTATTAGTTAGTGTTATTTATTTTACCATTAGATTGTTTAAATTAATTCAACGCCTATATTTTTTTCCATTTTTATATGGTTATTATTTTTCATATTTAATATGAAAGCATAAAATATGAAAAATTATAATTTTATAAAGATAAACAAAAATATTAAATATAAATAAAAGAAAGAAGATTTTTTAAAAAGTTAAATAAGAGTTGTTGAATCAATATAATTGATCTAATAGTAAAACAAATTAGTAGTGACATTGATAATAAGTAGTAACACTAATTGATAGTAACAATATCTTATCTCAAATTTAAAAGAAACATTTTTTAAATTGAATTTTATTTCTGCAATTTTTTTATTAAATTATGTTTTAATATAGTGAATTTATAAAACATTTTTTTTTGGTAAACAGTTTATAAAACATTTTATTATCTCGTTATTTAACGAAAAGAAAGTTGTTATTGAGCTTTTCAAAGATTTAAAATATCACTACGATCTTCTTATTATCATTCTGTTAAGGGGAAAATGCTTTTGTTTTAAAGGATAATCATGTGTCATTTTAAATCATAATTATTGATTTTTATCAATCAACGGTCATGATTTATTAGATCAAACTTATTAATTAATTATTAATTTGTAATAAAATTTAATAAATCTTAATCGTTATTAACAAAAATCAACGATTAAAATCTAAAATAATAAAAGATTATATCGTTTAAAACTAGAAACATTTTCCCTTTCTTTTAATATTAAGAGTAAACACCCTTTTTAGTCCCTGGCAATATCTACGAAGTCCTTTTCAGTCCCTGGCAATAAAAAAGGACCAAATTGGTCCTTGAAAGTACAGAAAAAGGGTCACTCTACATATTTGGGAGTTGACATAAGGACCAACATGGCTCTTTTTTTGTAATTTCAGGGACCAATTTGGTCCTTTTTTATTGCCAGTGACCAAAAAGGACTTCGTAGATATTGACAGGAACTAGAAAGGATGTTTACTGTATTAAATGAAAAATGCCGTGCTAAAAGCTTGGACTGGGTCTCCTTGAATGTAACGTGGGTGTCCACAGCGGTAATATTTATGTTTGGCATGGGTATAAATGCTATTTGACCATTGAGACGTGTTTGAATGATATTTTTATGCGTATGTTTCCAAAAGTTATTTTTCAGCAAGGGGTATTTAGTTCTGCTTTTATATATTTATTTTAATGAATTTTGTTGATTCCGCTATATTTAGTTCCTCTGTATTTTTGGATGGCTGAGATAATTGCACCATATGGTGTGATCCATCAATTCCCCACTGGGGTTCTCGGCGTGTCAAAATGGGTCAACACGACACGAATACATTAACACTAATACGACACGAATTTTTATTCGTGTCAAAATTTTTAACACTGACTCGACACGAATTATTTGCGGGTTGACACGACATGAATAACACGCAAAATAGGGGTCAAAATAGTAATTGACAAATTTTTTTAAAAAAATGGATCGATATTAAAAAAAATTAAAATAATAATAATAATAAATTAAAAATAAAATAATTTTAAAAAAATACACACGAACACGAATACATCAACACGAACACGACACAAATTTTTTACGTGTCATTTTTCCAACACGAACACGACACAATTTATTTTGCGAATTGACCCGCGTGTCAAAACCTATATTGACACCCCTACCCTCAGAACTTGAAATGATAAATAAAAAAATGAAAAAATTAATGAGTTCTCCAAAAGAGGTCCACAAACTCATTGAAAAAATAACCTCAAAAATAAAATAAAATTGAAAAGAGAGTATAAAACTATAAAAGCAATCTCGTGGGGCCAATTCGTAGAACTAAATACCCTGCACTGAAAAATAAATTTGAGGCATACCAAACATGTAAAATACACATGGTAATGCCCAAATGGTTAAATGACCTCAGTATAAATGCTTGATTGAATGGTATGTAATATAAAGATATAGAATAAAATATTGAATATGACTTATACTTTGCATATTGATGAAGACTGTGTGAAAATTGACAATTACATACAAATCATAAATGAAAAGAGAAAGAGAGAGAATTGACACAGTGATTTATCCTGATTAATCTAATTTAAGCTACGTTCATCTTGTCTGTATTATATTCACTTCACTGCCACATGTTATAAGTCACTCGATTTATAAGTAGAATATAAATAGGATTAGAAAAATATCAACACCAGTTATTCATGGGCCCAAGCTTAAACTATTATGAAAGGAAAAAATTGTAATAAATTAGAGGCCTACAATAATACATAGCCTTTATGAGAGAATTTTCTTCTATACTACTGCTGTACCGAGTTGGGTACAACATTTTCCTAAATTGAAAATTTCTAATACCATTTGAATCCAAGTTTTTTCTCATAATTCCTTTTAAATCCAAAAGTTTTCCTTTTTTAGAAGTGATGTATGGTGCAGCAGTAGTACCCAAGGTTTGCTCCTTTATGAGACCCTAGTTTTTTTTATATTGACCTCGACAACAAAGGCCCTCATCAGCATGCGAAATATGAGCCACACCAATAGATCCTTGTTGGCAGGGTCAGCAAAAAGTCAATTGAAATCTCATAGAGACCTAGAGACTCTGACTTATTGTATTTTCTTTTTCTTAATAGTTTGGACATGGACTCATGAATAACTATTGTTAGAATTTTCTAAATCATATTTGTATTCTCTTGTAAATGACTTGTAACGAGTGACAGTGAAGTGAATATAGTACAGACAAACTGAATATAGCCTATATTGAATGAATTAGGACAAATCTCTATGTCAAATCTATATATATATATATATATATATATATATATATATATATATATATATATATATATATTTGTGTGGTTATCGATTTTCAAAATTAAATAACATAAATTAAATGAAATTACATTTTATTCTGATTTCGGCAGAACTCCGTTCACTCCTCGCGGAATACTATTTGGTGCTGTTTGGTTCACGGTTTTAGCCAAGTTTCCTAGGCAAATGAATCAAGGATTTCAGAAAACCAATGTTTGGTTGAATAGATTCAGTAAAAAAGGCCATCCATCCGATTTGCATTGCTTTTCAATTTTTTCATGGAATGACATATTTTGGCACTGTTAAGAAAGCTTTTTCGTAGGTGTTTTTTTGTTAAAAGATGGGTAAATCAATGTTGTCTGAATTTTTTCACACCCATTATACCCTTTGAAAAGGCAAGAGAGATGATAGGATTTTTGCTTCCTTTGTGTGGTCTGCAGCCGTTGTCTTCCTTGTGTGGGTTGAAGAGCACCTTTTCACACGGCTACCGGAAGAAAGCATCATTGCATGGTGGTTGTCGACCGGAAGAAGAGCACCGAATCAGACCTGAATCCTTGATCTTTGTCTCTTGCTTTTTTGTAGATCGTGC